AATGGTAGATAATTTCAATATTTCAAGCAAAACGCAATCAAGTCGAGAGTGCATCGCATTATTAACTATTATATTTTACTGGTACGAGTTACCTTTAGTTAATCTAAGATTATGGAGTATTGTACTTCAAAACTTAGATCTGGAAATCATCTGGAAAGACTGATTTGGTTTTTTAGTCTAAGTAAATAATATATATTTAAAAAATACATATGTCTACTTAATGAAATGTTGCCGTCTGTGTTTTTTTTTCTTTAAATTTGCTTAAAGTATTTTCTTTTAATTCGAAAATTCCAGCCAAGCAGATAGTATAAAAAGATTCCCGATAGAACATGTTTTCGGAGCATGCCTACATGTGACTATAAAATGAGTGCTGCTTTACTGTAATGTCTTAATGAGTTAAAGCACTTAGGTAGGTAGGTAGGTGGCTGTGGACGCAACCGGGTTTTTACTAGGTCTCTTGTGAAAACACCGCTACTTAAACCAAGCTGATAATGTGGTCTGGATAAAGTTACTGAATTTAAAAAGTTTGCAACATCCGAGATATCTTCTAAAAATATTTTCCATACATAAGATTTTCCACAGTTTCTGCTTCTTCTGCTTTCCGGTAGCTTCTCCCTAGTATACTGCTTTTGTATTCTGGAACCCATTGCAGATTTCTTATTTAGTAGCTAAGTTTCATAAGGTTTATTTTGATCCCAACTTAAATATGCATATAAATATTCTTTGATGGGTAATCTCCACTTGAAAAGTACGACCGTGATCAGGTAGACTGATGACGGTTCTGATATCTAATTGTGACGAAAATACACCAATAAAGTTTGGATTCGTTCACATACACCGATTTCAATGTCTTTGTCCACCTCAACCCTATCACAGTGCATTCTGATGGGAAAGACATTATAATAAGCTTAATGATTATTGTATATTCTTTAAAAAATAACTTCAGTTATCTTATTTCTTATGAGTTCGACAAAAATTTTCTAAGTTAATTTAGAACTTTTTCCATAAGAAGCACTTTAGAACTCAAAAAACTCCATACAATAGACTCTTTTCTGACGGAAATGAAGACTGCTCCCTGATAAACCAGTTTTATGTGTCCTTAATGAGCTTCGTAAAAAGCGCTTTTAAAGAGTGTTTCACTGTAAAATTTGCGGTTAATGTCTAAATACATAAACACTTATTTTGGTATTTTCGTTTTCTAAATTCTTCGAGACTATCGAACATATTGCAGTAAAAGTAGGTCAGTTCGTTTCTCAGGAAATACACCTAGAAAAAACTAAAAGAAGAAAGCTGAGACCAGGTCTGCTAGTTAATAATATAGTACCAAAAAATTTGACCAATAGGTGGCACTGTGCTCTTGTTAATTCTAAAGCCACATTTAAAGTTACTAAGTTTTGGAAGAGGGATATTGAGTCCTAATCTCACCAACTATTTTTTTCTTACAGAGCACCTACCCCCCTTAAATAAATATGTATCTCCCAAAATGGTGCGTTGGCGTTAGAAAAGGAATAAAATACACGATTGCTAGAATCAGCGACGCCGTTACTGCTTGGGTTTCCTTCCGTTTGCAATCGTTTTTCATACTTTTTCCTTGAGTTGTGGTTAAGTTGGGAAAGGCTTTCTTTATTTTGTTATCCCTTTTTAACTCATTCCACTTTGTGCCCAGTTACAAACGTTTGCCAGCTGATACGGTCGTAACTATTTCGCAAAAATACAAGAGCGCACACACCCCTCTACTTAAACATACATAAAAACTCATACAAACTCGAAATGGTTAGTACACACACATACTCACAAACGTGTTTGTGTGGGTAACAAAAAAAAAAAAACACACAAAAACAGGCGAAGGACTTCATTTCGTATTATGTTTTATTGTAATACCATCATAAAATTTTTCGCATTATACTTAAATAAGAATGTATGTATGTATGTATACATACTTTCAAGCGACCATTTAACAATATTTTGCTTTTATTTCTCTGCCATTGCACATAACAATTTCATTTATGATCACACAGCTGCATTATTTCACTATACGTTTGTGTGCCAAGTAGATATGTATGTTAGTCTAGAGCTGTTCAAACTGCTTGTCGGTATTGTGGCGTGTAGCGCGTGCGAAACTTCAATGCTGTCGCTTTTAGTTTATAGTTTTCACGCTTTTGTTTGCTCCTTTTTACAATTTTTGCTTCGTCGTAGTGTTGTTACTGTTGTTTTTGTTTTTGTTACTGTAGTAGTTATATTTGATGGTCATTTGGTGGCAGTCATTTTTGTTCCACCACCACCATATCCGCTACCTGTCGCCTGTATACACACACTTACAGTACTATCGGCAAGTGTACTAATTTCATTCAAAGTAACGGTATTTTGAAAAACGTTAATATCGTTAAATGTCAGCGTCATTTCCTCACTCACTTTTGCTTTTCAGTAACATTTTCTTTTATTTAGCAATCATGCATACAAACATATTTCCCATATCTTTGGCTACCCACAATACCAAAAAATTATTTCCACCGTCACATCGTTGGTTGCTTGGTCTACACGTCCATTGTTTTCAGTGTGTGGTTGTGTGGAATGGGAACGGAAAAACCGTTTCATTTGCAATTCTATGTTGTTCCCGGAAGTGTTGGTGGCGGTTTTATGCGAAGCATTTGTCTGCTGTGCCGGAGTGTTAGAATGGCGTTAAACCATTTGATTGTTGTTTTATGTGGAAATAAAATTAAGTGTCTGCGTATTGATGTGGTCTTGAAGTTACTTTGAAATGTTAGCATTTTTTCCAAAAATATTAAAACAATTATTACAAAATTAAACAAAAATACATTTTTATACAACGACTATGAATAAAAGAAATTAAATTAAGTTAAACCATGATTTAAATTAAGTAAAAATAAATATAATTAAAATAAGTCAACTAAAATAAATAAACTTAACCAAAAAAAAAAAAATAATAATAAAAAAAAAATAACTGTTAATAATAAAACTGATTTAAAGTAAAATATACATTAATAAGTTAAATTTCACTAAAAAAATAAAATCACTTTTAATATGAATAACTAAGACTTATTAAGTACATTAATCAGATAATGCATAAAATAAAAATAATTAAATTATTATAAATTTTTTTATATAATAAAGTAATAATAAATAATAAAATAAAACTTATTGCAGTAAATGGACATAACTTAAAAAAATAAATGCTCTAAAAAATGTAAATATAACAACACAAAATAAATACATGGATATACACAAAATATAAAATATAACCTCAAATAAAATAAAATAAAGTGAAATGGTATTAAGCTATAATTAAAAAAGATGCAACATAATAAATTAAAATATAATACAATAATATAAAGAAACAAAAAAAAATTAAAGAAAAAATGTAAATGAAATTAAATTAAATAAAAGAAACAAACAATAAAATGATCTCAAATAAATTAGTGAAAAATTAAATGGAATAAGAAAATAAAATATTCAACGCTCAAAAAAAAAAGTAAATCAAATTGATAACAAATAAAACAATATTAAATAAAAGCAAATCCATTTCAATAAAAAATATCTTAACGTAATAAAATCAAATGAAACAAAATAAACTGAAACCAAAGAAAAAAATTTTATTGCTAAATTAGAAAAATTTAAATGCAATAAAATTAAAGAACTAAATTAAATATAAATAAAATGAATGAAATAAAATAAAAAGACAATATATTTTAAAATGAAGTAAAATAAAAAAAATAATAAATAATAATAAAAATACAATAAATTGAAAAGCCAAATTAAATAAACAAAAAAGAATTTTAATAAAAAAGATTAATATAAAATTGGATAAAAAAAATAAAATAAAATAAAATAAAACAAAATAAAATAAAATAAAATAAAATAAAATAAAATAAAATAAAATAAAATAAAATAAAATAAAATAAAATAAAATAAAATAAAATAAAATAAAATAAAATTACATCTCTGATATTATTTCATTTCATTCAGATGAAATTTAAAAAAATGAAAGAGATATTAATTGAAAATAAGATAAAATAAAACCTCAAATATAATTAGCGGATATCGCCGTAGTATTTTTATCATGGATTTAAATAATATGTTCTCAATTAATTTAAAGATATGTTGAATGGTGTTGAGATTTACGCGTAAGCGTGTATTTATTGCCTAATACTATTTTAGAATGGATCTGTAACCCTTTTGTTCAGTAACCGCTGGTGGACTCGTTAGATAAGTAAATATTCAAATATAAATATACAATTTGAAGTAGCTCCTGACGTGAATGTATTGCGATGTTTTCTTTAATTTATTTAACCGTCAACGCAACTATTTGTTAGTATTCTATGTAGGAAGAAATAAATATATAATATAAGCCAGTAACTGAGGTTGAATTTTTATTACCTTAAACAAGCAAGCGGGCGACGTCAATATGTTATCAGCGCATTAATATTATCTACTCAATAGAGCATGAAAAAATTATATGGAGTATACATATTATATACATGTATGTATATATATGTAATTGACGCTTTGTAACCGCTGAAGTTTTTTTGTTGGTAAAATATCAAGACGCTCACCTCAAATTGAAAGGGGAACTCGGCCGAATTTTAATGGACTACCAACTTATATTGGCCTGAGCAGCTGAACATACTAATTGCTTGTACCATAGTAACTAGTATAAATATTTATTAAGTGTTGAAAAACACTACTGATAAAAAAGATAAATCAAAAATAAATTCAACTACAAATATTAAAAGATTTAAATTTTGAAATTTTAGTTTATTGCATATATACCGCACGGCTTACTTTCGTATCTATCGGCAATTATTCATATTAGGGACTTAATTGTGATTGATATTATTTGCTTGAATTATCAGCATAAGTGTGACAAAGATATGCTTTTTTTAAATGCAATGTAAACGAGCATTTTGGGGAGCATAACGATAATTTTAGTATAAAAGTCGCTTAAAATTATTTTACAATTTAGTTTAACTACAGGTGTTCGGTCTTGTCAGGAGTTATGAAAGTGGCATTGAATTTCATATTTTTAGCTCTGTTCCTGTTCGGGGCAAGCAAAGTAAGCGAATTCTATAAATATTTTTTTTTTCCTTTTTAATATGCAATAACAATTGTGCGTTCTCTATAATTAATGTACAGATTTTCGGCATTTTTGAATTGACAAATATTTTCTAATCCTCCGCATAGGCAAACTATTTTCCCAAACCTCGTGTTTTCTCAACTGACATACTTGAAGAGGAAGTCGACGCGGTGCAGATGACCAAAAGCAATATAGAGCATTGTTACCAAAAGTACCAGCATCTTGTCACGCAATACTCCCAACTCAACGAGGCTGTGCAAAAATATTTAGTAAAATGTCTTACAGAAAATCGTGACCAAGGTGTATGCATCCCAGGATGTGAGCCAGTTTTTGTTGAGGTCAGAAAACTCATTGCTCATGCAAATCAAAAAATTAGGTCCTGCATCGCTAATGTCATTCCAGCGGCACCCTGTGTTCCTAACGCAACAGTTGTATCAAGCACTCACTAATATCATTCATTCCTCATTATATAATGATTCTCACAAATAAATTCATTTTTTTAAATAATTAAAAATTAAAAAGAATCTTAAAGGGTTTTACGTGATTCATGTGATTCATGTGGAAAAGTGAGTTTCGGTCAATAAAATAATAATAATTTAATTGAACTTAGTGATAAATGAAGCACTGTGGCATGACAAAGCGGAAAAGGAAATAAATTATAAACAAAAGTTGACACCACTGTGTTCTGCACCCAAAACTTTTTCAGCCAAACCATATGATTTAGCCTGCGCAGCTGCTGTTAACTGATAAGGTGAACTTTGACAATGTCGTCGTCTAACTCTTACAGCTCACCCTTCCATCGTCTACCGCATTCGCTGTTGCCAACTCCTAGAGGACCATAAATATTACACAAAACCTTCTTTATCTCGAAAACTACTAGTCTCATCAGATGTTGTCATCGCTCATGCTTTCGCACCATATAGCAGGACGGTAACGTCGGAGGACTTGCAGAACTTTGCCTTCGTTCGCCGAAAGAGGACTTTATTTTTCAATTGCCTTCTCAGTCCTAAGTAGCACCTTTTAGTAAGTGTCATTCTGTTGGTTGTTGGTGTTAAAGCTGTTTCCAAGATAGTCGAAGTTATGTACTACTTCAATGTTATGACTGTCAACAACGACGTGTTTGGTGGCAGGAGATATTCCGTCTTGATTCGTACACTAACAAACCCATACGTCTCGCTTGTTTGTCCAGTCGAGAGGTGGCAGAATTTAAAGCTCGGTTGTTGTTGTGTTGTACCTTATCTATTCAGCTCTTATTATTTTATTCATTAAATTTCTGGCAACTTGAAAAGCCATTATCTAAGAAGCGATAACAAACCGTGTGGAGCCTTGTGCCACAATAAATAGGAAAAGCTTCATAGTAGCCAAAGTCTAGATGCAGCGTTTGTTCGGTATATAACTGTTAAAAGAAATTTGATCGCCAGTAGCTCCAATGGAAAAAATACAGCGCTTCGGAAGAAATACTCCGCTTTTGATGAGGACCCCCACAAATGTATTAAATAACGACTTGAGTGCATACGCATGAAATGGTCGGTCCCATAATTGGAAAAGTGCTGCTCCCTAGCCTGTTATCTTATCTCCGTTCACTACAAGATCCATATATTTTGCTTCCTTATCAAGTCTGGGGGAACGAGAACTCACGGCTCAGTAATTGAGACCATTGAAAGAGTATGCCCTGTCTTTAGAGCTCTGCAGCTCGTATTATTATCTCCAGATTCCAATTGAAAAAAATCTTACTTCAAAGAGTCACCCTATCTGGAACCTTGTTTGTTAGCAAATTGATAGAAGAGGTCCTTTCTGACTCTAATAATACTTTTAATGTTGCTTCGTCGCATGAGTTTTAAGGGAATATCGAATTCAGACCTAGCTTCGTTGTTTTCGTGCTTTACGATTGCAGTTGACATCGGACTTTAGTCTCTGGGCAGTGCACGCTTTCATGCACCTGATCGATTCTTCACCGCCGCATTTGGATAGCTTGGCCGGTAATCCATCGGTACCCCCCGCTTTCCGATTTTTTCATAGTCGGGTAGTGGAACGTCTTTTCCATCGTCATCGATTGGGATTTCGGGTTCACTATCTCCGGGTGTTTCATTTTCACTACCATTCAGCAGGCTAAAGAAGTGTTTTCAGTTCTACAAAAATTTTCTCCATTTATTTCATATTTCAGCTTTATAAGAAAACTGGACCACCCTAATGTTAAATGTTCCCTGTAGGTTTGATAAATGAAATCTTATTATTGTATAAAAAAGTCACTTGTGTACGCAGTTTTGATGAATTTTTTAAATTCGTATGCAAAAACAGCAACACATTGTAGCCAACCAACAAACACCATCGGTGACCAACTTTTTTACATATTCCCATTACATTTGTGTCACACTTCGCTACCCTTACTCAGACAAGAGGAAAAAATTTGTTAGCGAAAAAATTTCTACCACCAAACAAGCCACAGGCCGGTTAACAACAACAATTACAACAAGCATTTACCAGCAAATGACGAGGAAAGTAACATACGCCACACATAGATGGATGACACAAACCCTCACAGTGAAAGACAGTAAATTAGTGTGAAAAAGCTTAACTGTATAAACTGCCATTACTGTATAAGCATGAGTGTGCATGTGGTAGTGACAGTCACTAGCACGCGCTGTGACAGGGTATGGCCACAAAAACGTCAGCATGTGTATACCGACCACTAGATAGTGTCGCCCGATCGCAGGGTTGGTTGTTGGCTTGCTGCGGAGAGTAAAAATACGAAAAAAGTTATGAATTCACACGAAATATGAATTTGAGTTTGACGGTGCAGGTGTTAAAAAATATGTGGTGGTAAATGAAAAAATTATTGTAAAATGTATAACTGCATTTGCGGGCGGCCATCAATGGAATGGTTGCACGTGGCGTATGAGTGTTATTGGTTTGCACTTGCGGTAGGAACAGTTGAATGGTCGCTACAATTGGAGTAAAATACTAGCATAGTTGTAGTTGCTGCCGTGATGCGCACTTAGTGCCAGCAGAATAGTGTTCAAAAAGGCGCATATTATATATATATATATATATATATATAAATATATTTTCATATTTATCAATTTGCACATTTGTTTGTAAATGCCAACGAATAAAGGGATATTTAAGATTTTTTTAATTGGCGTAAATTTGCAAACCTTTTTAAAAAAATCATTGTTCCGCAATAAAATAAAGCTTTTGTTTGCCAATGTTTTAAATAATAAATCGGCGAAAGAAACAAATTTTATATATGTTTTCAAATAATTTTGTTTATTACAGTGGATTTACTTTGAATGAAAAAAGGTAAGCTTTCAATCTTAATTGCGCAAGTAAAATGAAGTAATATATTATAAAATAAAATTATATGATATAAATTAAAATAAAATAAAATTAAATAAAATTAAATAAAATAAAATAAAATAAAATAAAATAAAATAAAATAAAATAAAATAAAATAAAATAAAATAAAATAAAATAAAATAAAATAAAATTAAATTAAATAAAGTTATAAAAAGGAAATACAGATTTATTGATGCTCTTAATATTTAATCGTGCAGTGAGATACTCTAAATTTTGTTAACGTCATCAAAGGAATTAAGACTTCGGTATGGCTGTAAAAAGAAATTCGAATTGAAATGATATTTCCTCAAATGACGCTCATAATATAATGTGAAAATTGTTCTACTGAAAAACGAATTCGACGTAATTTACTTGATTTTAGTTATTTCATTTTGCATAAAATACCAAAGTACCAAACGTATTGTCACTCTGATTAATAATAACTTGCATGTGTAATGCATTTTCATGTTTTTATTGTAATATATAACAAACAAACAAACAAATTTTAATTATATTTACTTTACGCATCATGGAATATCTACTTTGGAAAAGCTGTTAAAATTTTACGACAATGTTTTTTTATTTACTCATTACATCAACAAAATATGACAAGCGATAATATTACCAAGCAAATAAAATTTCATTACAAATATAAAATATTGAAATATTTATAAAAATGAATACATTTTTAGTTTTACGCAATCAACGACTGCAATGCGTGAATACCTACATTCCGACAATGCATTAATTTCAAATTACAAAATTCGAGTGAAATAATACAATTTTTGATGGGCCGACAATGAGTTGCAATTATTTACGGGTAATATAACTTCAGCGGCGGTGAGGCACATTAATGACGCTGGCGGTGCGCACTGACGACACGGCAATTGCAACATAACGTGCACACACACTCATATACACGCGTACACACAAATTAAATTATCGAATATTTTTGCCAACAATGCGTGTATTAAGTGAAAATAAATCCATTAAAATTATCGTCAGGCGAGTGTATGAGTATATGACTGTATCCTCGTATATATATTGCATGTGCGTGTGTGCGCAGCGTTTTAACATCAAATCATCTGGCTATAAGCCGCAAACTCAGCACCTGTAAAGTTGTTATGCAGGCTGATGCTCTCGGCTGTCGTCCGCTGCCATCTGAAATGCATACTATTTATATGTATGTATATATAATATATTGCAAATACATAGTACTGTACACCGCCGCTTCTGCTCACTCGAGCGTTCAAAAACTAATGCGTTGATTTATGACGATTTATGTTGGCAGTAAAAATAAATGCCCACAAATTAATGGCGTGCAAGAATAAATAAAATATTGTATGCATACAATCATTCCCACATACAAGGCATCTACGTATGTATGAATGCTTATATGTTTGCTGGTTAATATTTCACTTTGATACATATTCGATTCGTGTATAATTTTTAAATGCATCGACAAGTCATTTGTTGTTACAGTAAATTTGTGGTAATGGCTTGTGGTTAATCAGTTTTAAATTAACCACAAACTTCATTATGGTCAATTTAAAATTTTCATATTTTTAAATTTGACAATTATTCTTTTCAGTTTTTTGGTAACATGAAAAGCCGTGACCATAAAAAATATTAATTAAAAATGTTTAATGCTACTATAGATTTAAAAGTAATTTAAATTTATTTTTTATGTATTTTTAATATTTTTTTTAAATTAATATAATTAATTTACCTAATTAAGATTTCTTTAAAAATTAGTTTTCTCAATTTTTTTTCATTTCTCATGTGATCTTATATTATTTATATATTATTTTGTTTTATTATTTGTTACAATATTTAATGCATTTTTTAAATTTTCATTTTTTTTACTTAATTTATTGCAATTTTTAATTCATTTTATTATTGTTTTGTTTCACTTACATTTCTACTTTTTTTCTTTATTTTATGCTTTATTTTATCTGAGTTTATTTTTAACTATATTTCATAAAGTTTTCTTTATTTCAATGAAATCTGTTTTTTTAACTATTTTTTTAATATTTTAAATTTTTTCAAGTAAACGTTTCAATTTATTAGGTTGTCAAATATCTCCCTTCCGCTTTCTTCTCTTTGGAATTTCGCGGCTATGTACAAATCGCTACAGAGCTGGCATCTTGCAACTCTATACATAATTTGAAAGGCCTTGACATAACCTACAAAACAACGCTATGATTAGTTTGGATATTGCGTTCAACAGTTATAGACGTGTAAACATGGAGTTTACTAACGCCGAAATTCGCGCTATTTTAAAGTTTTCCTTCGTTAAAGGCAAATC